TAGACTCGTTTGCAGTGATTTCCAATGATTCTAATAATAAGTGATCCATACTCTAAAAGCATCTTATGTTCATCTAATCAGGCTGTGATTCAGGACCAAAATCTACCATAGTTTATGATTTTCCAAGAGGATACAAATGATTGGAAGAAGAGAGATGCACACTTGAAATAAAATCACAATTGCCAACCAAAATTCCATAACCTTAAAACACACAGCCTGTTGCATCTGGATTTGTGAAGCCAAAGCAATAGGTAAGGTTAATAGATCAAATGTAAAAGGCAGTGATATTTAAAATGGTTAAGGATCAAATGGACTTAGGAGAGACAGTCTTGGTAGCTGTTTGCTATTAGGATACTTAGTTTCATACTGCACGAATATTTCTGACTGCTTACTTTCACAATGCAAGGATAGCTCACTGTTTGACTTTGGGTCATGATTGAGGTTAATGATGGGAAAGTTGAGAAAAAAAAGTTTGATACTGGAGACAATACTATGCTGTCAATACAAGCAAGAAAACGGGCATTAGGTTGCAGTTCTTACGGTGGTAGATTTGGACCTTGTTATATAAAATGATTCTATCTTTGCTTTATATGTCAGTCCATTGTTTGACTTTTACTTCCCGCTTAGCAGTTAGCAGATTTCTACGTACAAAGATATAACTCTCATCCTAAAGGAAATCCAGTTATGCAGAATATTTTCATAAGCAAAAAGGGTTTCTTAAAAAAGAGCAACCTTTGCAGACCAAAAGAGATCCAGAAAAATCCAAATATTAGACTAAATCAACTGACATTCTTTTGTCTTAAATCACCCAATTCTTAAACTACTACTTGTTAAAAAAATGACCTTTTCAGATCGAGATATTATCTCTCTTTCCGTGATTCAAAAGTTCAATCATTAAATAACTAACGAATTTTAACTCATAACCCAAGGAGTGCCAGTACCCCCCTTCTAATTGGCACAAATTGCTCATCATACAACTCCCAGAAAGTTGGATTTGGTAGAATGAAGACTGATGGTATAGATGGAAGTTAAAAGAAATTAAACAAAGTATACAAAAGTACATAAGTGGAATTCCCATAAGTTAAACATCATGGCAAACACCTTAAATTTAAAGATATGTATCTGATCAAAGTAATCAAACTCAGAATACTAGAAATGTCATGCACTGAAGAAAATGAGACAACATACTTCTAAGTTTAAGGAGAAAGTAAAGCATAAAGGGAATCAAATTGTGGTAAAGCATGAGAAACTGAGATACAAATTTAGACAATGAATTTCAGCTTACAAATACAGCATAAAGGGAATTGAATTCTGGTTCAAAGTACCTATGAATCAATATCCAAGGTCGCTGGGATCCCCAGTAAACTCAGCAATCTGCTCAAGACTCACATTGAGCAATTCATGGGTATCAGCATCTCTGACAACACCAGTTTCTCGGTCTGAATCCTTCTCAACAAGATTGCCAAAGACCCCCTTGTGCTTTCCAGACAACACAAGAACCGATCCTCCCCGCTTTGGCAGTGCAGTCTCAAGAAGATCCTGGGATACCCCCTGCACAAGCTCCCTACTCCCATCCATAGATATATCACAAGTTTTGGGTCCAACCACATCCATCACCTCCCCTTTTTTCAAATACAATTTCCCACCTTTCAAGTCCTTGCTTATAACCCTAACTCGAATGTGACGGGCAAGCCACGTTGAATAACCCCTCTGCTCTTCTCGTCTTGGCTTACTATCACTACCCACTTTCCTTTGGGCCTCCTTCAATCTCTTCAAGCACTTCTCTTCTTCTTTCGAACCCAATTCAGCAATTTGATCCACATTCACTTTCACTACCTCTTGCTCTTGCTCTTTGCCCCTACTCGAGAGCTTCAATACCAGTTTGCCATTGCCCAATTTCTCAACAATCCTACCCCTCAAACCCACGTAGTCTCTACCCGAAACAATCCTCACCTCCTTACCCAAATCCCCATCTTTCTTTCTCTCTTTCTCTTGCTTTTTCTCTTTCTCCTTCGGATTCATATGAAACCCCAACCCATGCCTATCAGTACTCCTTGTATACTCCACAACCTTCGCATCTTCCTTAGCATTCTTTCCAATCCCTCTACCCGGGTACCACCCGTACCCAGAAAGCAACGCCTCGCCGTAACCCTCTACCGGCATCTCATCAAACTCCTCCAAGCCCCTGTGATCCGACAAGCGCTCCAAGTCGTCTTTAAATTTCTGAAGCAGAGTGTCCTCCACACCTCTCAATCTCGGCCGTTCATCACCACCGTCCCGATTCTCCGATTCCGCATCCAATTTCTGCCGCACATTTAGACCGTACGAAATCTTCGCATCGGGGTCGTCGGTGACCGATAGCGTCTCGACCTCGAACTTAAGTTCTTGGCCTCCGGGCTCGGTGATTGGAAGCTCGAGATTCTTCATCTTCTTGTGGGGCCGCCACTCGTTCGGGATCGGAGCGATTACGCGGGTTTTGGGGTCGGTGGATGGGGTTTTGGAGGCGTCGAATTCGTTGACGAAGTGTTTCGAAGCGGCGTCGTTTGGGTTGCCATTGCCGTCGTCGAAGGTGGTGGCGGTGGTTGAGGGTTTGCGTTTAGGGTTTGATTTTGAAGAGGATTTGGGTGGCAGAGAGAAGGAGAGTTTCATGGTTTCGTTTCCTCCTTTGATTTTTCAGAGAGAAACGATGATTAGGCTGCTACGAGCTATGTTTCACAGCCTTGACTCCCTGTTAGTCTAAAGGCTCCAGCTTTTTATTTTGCGTGTGTTTTTGGTGTGGCCGGTGGTGGAGCATTCATGGGCCTTTCCTTTGCCCCAATTTAACCCATTCCAAGCAGGATTGGAAAAAAAAAAACCCGATCCAACTAGGGACGACAATGGGGCAAATGGGGTGGATATGTCATTCCCATTTTCATCGTAGTTAAGTATTTTTTTCCCGTCTTGCCTTTATACCCGTAATATTCAATTTGGGGAATTCTCCATCCCCGCCTTTATTGAGAACGAGTTCCTGCCCTCGCCCATCACAAATAATAAAAATGAAAAAGCTATTTTTTTTAAACAAAAAAGGCGCATTATGAGCACAACATATTTACGTTGTTAACCAAATATATATCAACCAGTAGGGTTTTGATAAATAAAAGAAACTAGTAAACGGTGGAGAAATTCCCCTAAATTTAACTACATATATTAGTCTATATAGGTGTTTAAACATGTGGATTCGGGAGGGGATTGAAATACCATCCCCGCCCCTTTTTGAACGCTATACTTGAAAATTTCCCTAAATTTGTTCCTATATCTGATTTTTATCCTTCATACATTGACTCTACCAAATCCAACGGAGTCGATATTTTTCTAAAGCAAGTACATTGTAAGAAGGATTTTCAACTCTAGGTATCAAATCCTCATTAGTAAAGATTTTTATGTCTAATACCTAATTTTTCTTATATAATCTTTCTTATGAATGTACAACTAAAATCCTAACTTCCTCATCCATCTTAGATTTTCTCAACGCGCCACCCATCTAAACCCAAGCATCGCAACTGATACTAGTCCATTGTGTCACATCGTCGTTCCTCTTTCTCTAAATTTGCATTATGGTCACTGGTACTTCTCCTAAATTTGCATTATTGTCATGATCTGGAATTTGAATTTGAGACCACTAGTCTGCAAAAATTGTTCAATAAAGTGTTGATATATACTTTAGCCTTCAATTAACCAAGCTATTTATAAATAAATTTTAAAAAAAAAATTGCAACACAGAAAACACTTTGTAATTATTGGCACTTCCATCCTAAAAAGTCCTTTTTACTGCTGGTCGTCTACACGACCCATACGAAACCCTAACCCGTGCCTGTCGTTCGGTCTCCGATTGAACTCCACGACCTTGACATCTTTCTCAGCGTGCTTCCCTATTCCTTTGCCCGGACACCACCCGTACCCGGCAAGCAACGCCGACCCAAACCCCTCCACCGACACGTCGTTGTACTCCTCCATTCCCCTGTGCTCCGGCAACCGCTCCAAGTCCTCTTTCAATTTCTGCAGCGCCAGCGCCTCCAAATCCACGCCTGCAGATCTCAACCGTTCATCGCCTTCCCCGTTCTCCGATTCCAGCTTCGGTCGGAGATTGAGACCGTTGGAAATCCTGGCAGAGAGCGACCGGACCTCGGAGCGATTCTCGGATTCGGGTTTCATCAGCCATTCGTTAGGGATCGGAGGGATTACACTGGTTTTGGGGTCGCCGCGTAGGGGTTGCGAGGCGTCAAATTCGTTGACGTATTGAATTGAACCGTCGTTGTTTGGGTCGGCGTTGCTGTCGTTGAATGTGGTTGAAGGTTTGGGGTTAGGGTTTGAAGAGGGTTTCGATGGCAGAGAGAACGAGAGTTTCATGGTTTTCGTTTCGCCTTTTACTTTTCTCCAGAGTAAACACTTCTTACCAGAAAATTCCCTCCCTTTTCCACTGGGCTCCAGCTTTATATTGGATGTTGTCGGTGCGGGTCAGCTGGGAAATTATGGGCCTTCTTTTGGCCCAACTCAACTCATTTTATTTTATTTTATTTATTTACAGATATTCACTCTCTCTTTTTTTAAGAATTATAATATTTGAAGGCATCCCAAAATAGCTGTTTTGAAAATATTTTAAAAAAACAATTGATGGGTATGTAATATATCTTCTTAGCTATCTTCCTGTTGCCATCCTCTAAACCATTTTTCTGACCAAACAAACAACACGAGGGAAAAAAATATATTGGGTAAAAGTTTTGTGTAGGAGTTGATGGGATTGCATAGATATAAGGTTTCTTGGCCAAGAGTTAGAAAATGGCATTTCTACAACACAAGAAGTATCAGCCAAAAAACCCAAAAACCCATCAAAATTGTAGGTACCCTAGCATGAGTTACGGAGAAAAACTTGGTTGCAACGGGAATAGCACTATTTTGTTATCCTCATTTCATGCAAGTGTTTCTCGTAGTTAGGCCACTGCTTCCAGTGGCACGAACTGTAATTATTACAGTGTAACATTTCCTAGAGCTGATCTCATTGCCAAGAACCCAGACTAGTTTCCAAGATGTACAATTAGAGGTAGATTATAAATTAAAATCATGGATGATATGAAAGTACAGTTGTAATTGAAGTAGTTGCACACCAGCATATTCTCTCTTTTGGCTGGTTGGTAAGAACAGAACAGATAAGGAACAAGAAGAGCAAGACTAATCAGCTCAGGACTACTTAAAATAAAGCTGCACAAGCTTCTTTAGAGTGTCAAATACACTCGTAAAGGGATCAAACTGGACAGAGCGCTTCAATTCCAGAGCAGGAAATTGATTTGTTAAAGCCTGTTGCATTTCGGACATGGACATCATTGCAGATAACTGACTATCCGTCATTGATTGACAGTCTTGTGGGGTGTCCGTGATTTTGCTTGGGTCATATCCGAAGTTGGCCAAGTAAAATTTGTACTTCTCTATGAATTCAGGACCAGGATTAGGCGTTCTGGAGTAAATCTGAAATATATCAATGCCAAAAATTATATGCAGATAAACATGAATACTTAATATTCCTATAAAATGCAAGTCATTTCATGAGTAAGTACCTGTATAAAACTCCTATCTTTTGCTCCTGAAACAAGAGCAAAATTGTCATAATCAGTTGCGATCACATCATATGGCTGCTTCGGGATGAATGGCAATGTTGGAAAACGGAGGTAACACTTCTCTTTGATCATCTCTTGCTTTTCTAGGACCGTCTCATTTTTTTCCAAATCTCCTTCCGAAAGGCATTGAACATTTCCCCTTATGCCAGTAATATATCCATCAGGGCTACCATGAACACAGAAGGTATCAACCTGGATGGCCCGTTTCTCCATATCAAATGTATACACACCCTGCAATTTATTAATTCGAAATGTTTTTGCAGGCAGAATTAGGTGGCTAACATTTGGCAGAAAAAACCTGTTATCCATAACCAACGAGAAGCAAAGCATGACAAGAAAGCTGATATTGCTTTCAGAATGATTTGGACCACTTGCAATTTGGAAAGGCTATTGATAGACAACTAGACAGCTCACGAATGCTTGATGAGCAGGTTGAACAATTCAGTTCTGCAGTCAAGTCCAATGCAACAGAAGGGGGAGAACCTAAACTCCTATCATATCTACATTATTTCCAGAAGCAAGATTTCAACACCAAAAGTCGCAATAGCTACACATACCCGAATTTACCTGGGTGCAGTGGCAGTCTTCTTGACCTTGCCCAGAAAATCCACGTTTCAGCGAAGCAACTTCAAACCACCTTCCAGAATATCTAATAGGGTTGAAATTATTTGCAGTCATGCCTCTCATCATCATTAGCTTCTCACCTCCTTCATCAGATCCCTTATCAAGCGGAAGAGTAACTGTCTTTTCAGGGGCATTTGCAAGCTCATAAATATTTCGTTGATGGGAAGCATCTGATGCAACAGCCTGCCCAAAAGCAGTAAAAGACATCAAGTACACTCTAGCACCTGCAATAACACAAGAATATCTAATATCTATTGTTATTACAACCGTATGGAAATCTAGTTTTGGACTAAATTCCTTAATAAACTTTCTATCCATCAATCCAACAAATTCTCGTGAAAATCCTAATCTAGTTTAAGTAAGTTGTTACAGAGTGGAGAATTGAAGGAAATGGACAACTCATTGTTCTACAAGGTTTTAAATAAAACATCAAGAACACAAAGCTCAATAATCTCTACCAGAAATCTTCTGACAATCCCGATATGGGAAAGTACTGAAACAAATGTACATCTGAAGGGGCTAAATTTTTACTGCGAGCTTATAAGATGTAACCCAAGGAAATGATCGGTCCAACACCTATGCTTTTTAAAGTTTTTATACAATTGGATGAGTCAAATTTACCAGCTAGGAATATAAATCTTCTGCTTCTCCTGAATGAGCACGCTTTGTCAGAACATAAATTTTCAATTCTAGCATCCTATAACACTACAAAAGATTAAATCTACTAACCTGGTTTATTTGAGAGACAAATACTAACGTTGCAGCAAAGCCGGATAAAACATGTCTGGTCAGAGGCTTGCTGCTGATAGATTGCTCTGAACAGCACTTCATCATTATTTTACCAGGCACTCCCCTGTAAAACAGGAGAGCAAAATGTCACTCTTTGGACTAAATAAGAACAAAAGAAACACAACACTAGCTTGCAAAATGTGTTTAAAACCTAACCGTATACAATTGGTAGTCTCTTTGGATCTGAGAACACAAAGGCATATTTGCATTTGGAATTACATACAAGTATACAGTATCATATGGGAATTTCTATTGTTGAAGATCAAGATCAATGCTCATGGTGTGCATCTAAAGTTAGCTTATTAAACATTTTGAGGATTATTCACTCAAAGAACAATCACCTTGCTTTTCCAGCATTGACATTTGACAGTGCACACCTGAAATACAAGGATTTTTTTT